AAACTTGAAATCGCATCATATGACCCCTTTAATATAAACAAACTATAATACACATTCATTTAATTACAAATAACGGTCACAATTTATTTTAAGTTCTCGCCATTAACAAACCATTAACTATGACTTTTGCCTCAAACTCCTAATTTTATGCTTATTAATAGTTAGTGAGGTAGTTGTTAAGTTTAGGATTAGGGATCTAGAATATGGTCATGTGGAATATATGCTTTATAAGCACTAATAAACAGCCAATATATTAATAAAGTGCTTGCTAATAAGCAACCAGTTAATAGTGAGAACTGGTCCTTATACTGAAGTGTTACACAAGTACTCTTTTTAAAAGTGTACTAAAGTGTACTTTTTTTCATGAGGGGAGGCACAAGCTCTCGTTTATATAATGGCACAGTGTTTTCACGTTCAACTGCCTTGAGCTGGACAACTTACCACCGGTTGCTTCGTAATGTCCACCAGGTCTCTGATGTTGTAGTACTGGTGTTTCTCAAAGGCAGAGAAGAGCATTTCCAGAACCTTCTGCTTGTCAGCTCTTGCACGCTTGCCTTCCTCTTTCTTTCTCTTCTCATATTCCACCTGAACAGAAGCATAAGCAAACCAGAGCATTCATTCATTTGCTCACATTATTATATCCCTCTCTCTCTCTCTCTCACACACACACACACACACGTCTGGTTTGCTATCCTTGTGGGGACTCTCCATAGGCATAATGGTTTTTCTACTGTACAAACTGTATTTTCTATTGCCCTACACCAACCCTACACCTAAACCTACCCCTTACAGGAAACTTTGAGCAGTTTTAGATTTTCAAAAAACTTTATTCTGTGTGATTTATAAACTTGTTTACCCGTGGGGACCTCAATTTAGGTCCCCACCGTGACACGAGTCCCCATGAGTCTGTGTGTATTCAGGTTTAAGTCCCCACCAGAATAGAAAAACAGGTACACACACACTTACGTTATGGCTGTGGTTGGACACAGGTTTGTAATTTGTTGTGACAGCTTTCTCAAGCTTCTGGGAAAAACGAAGAGGTTTGGTGGATTCTTCAATCTGGAGCCTGTGAATAAAGCACACATCTCTAGAAGGTCAGATCAAATGCCTTTGACAAGATTGAAGTATTGTGATCAAGTTTTGACTTACTTCTTTAGTTTCATGTAGCTCTCACTGACTGCAGGTCTACACTCAGCTCGCTGCACAACCATGCCTTCAAGAGCCAGCTTGTCTTAAAAACAAAAGACATTCTGCTTTATACATTTCCGAGATGGGACATAATCTAATAATCTATCATTATTTACACACTAGGTAAGGTATTATCATTCATTTCTTGGTGAATTATTCCCTTTTCAAAAGTAATAGTTTAATCTAAAATTAAAATTTTATGAAAATGTACTCACCCTCCCAAGACAATCCAAGATGTAGATGAGTTTGTTTCCTCATCAGAACAGATTTGGAGAAATTAAGCATTACATCACTTGCTCACCAGTGGATCCTCTGCAGTGAATGGGTGCCGTCAGAATGAGAGTCCAAACAGCTGATAAAAACATCACAATAATCCACACAACTCCAGTCCATCAATTAACATCTTGTGAAGTGAAAAGTTGTGTGTTTGTAATAAATCCATAATCAGATTTATAACTTTAAACAGTTGCTTCCGGCTAAAATACGAGTCCTCAATCCATAATATTCTAATATTCATAATATCATCTCGTCTGAATCAGGACAGAAATATGCAGAGATCAAGCAATGTTTACTAATGAAAACAGTTCAAAATAGTTCCAAACAAATATGCCTGTGGATTTTGATGTGAGAGGAAAACAGAGGATGGACTTTTTCAATGGAGAAAGCATTATTATGGATTATGGACAAAAAGCACCCATTTAAAGTTAAAACGCCTTGATGGATTTGCTTATTAAAACACACAGCTTTTGGCTTCACAAGACATTAACTGATATTCTGGAGTAATGCGTTTTCCTTGTGGATGATTGTGATGTTTTTATCAGCTGTTTATGACTCTCATTCTGACAGCACCCATTCACTGCAGAGGATCCACTGGCGAGCAAGTGATGTAATGCTAAATTTCTCCAAATCTGTTCTGAAGAATAAACTCATCTACATCTTGGATGGCCTGAGTGGGAGTACATTTTCAGAAAATTTA